TATCATTTAACTTCTTAGCAATACCTATCTGACTGTAGCAAAATACAGAGTGAAATCGGACAATCAGTTCAATAGTAACATGTCCATTATAGGCCACTAGGCAGGACAGCAACAGGCTCAGGCCTCTAGCACTTTCCTTTCTCTGAACAAAGGACCATGGGCATAGTTACTGTGACAGTGCCTTTGCCTTTCTGGCACCGCAGTTTGAGTTTTGGAAATAACAAGTAGATTTCTGAAGCGACAGCAGTATGGCTACTCAGAAAGGCTTTGCTCAATAAAGTGAACGAAAATGGAATTGTACCAAATAGAAGTAGTGACAGAAATTTGAAGGCCTGGTTATCCTGTGTCCCCTCAAAGTCAGCTTCATTCTCAAGGACTGTTAATGAGTCTATGCCGCGCAAGGGAGGCATCGGCCAGTCTCCCTCTTCTGTGAGGGAGACCGGGGTTTGATTCCTGGTCAGGGCGCGTTAAGTGCAGCCACCATGCATGTCGCTGTGTTGTTGAGCAGGTTTTAGAGCTTCCAGGCTAAGATGGCCCGGGAAGAAAGGCCCAGTGATCTAGTTCTTAAAATCAATCAGTGCGGAGAAGGGGGAGGGAGTGGAAATCAATCAGTGAAAACCTTAGGAAAGACGATAGTGAGATCTGCAGCCAATCAGGGGTCTGGCCCTGGGTGGACAGCCCCTCAATCCATTGTGCATGGATTTGCCTGAGTCAAGGACTGACTGAATGGCAGCTAACGATGTGATGAGCAGGGTGTGCCCAGCTTCTGTGTAGGGGGTGAGACTCTCACCTGGGCCAGTCTCACAGGTAACAGGGAACTGCTTTATCAGAGGCACAGAGGTGTTGCCGTAGTAATCCGTGTCTAGAACCCACCAGTAGGGGCGCTGTCCAAACAGGATCCTACGGGAAAGCAGAACCAGAATCTGGAGTTACTGGAGTTACTGAACAATTCCTCTGCCCAAACAAGCACCTTTGAAAAGAGACAGTGGCTTGCGGAGAAGACTTCCTTGGTCCTATCGGAGCACTGGTGGCACCAGCTGCCTCCAGAAAGGGTAATCGGGTGGCTGCAGAGAGACTTTTCACAGTGTGTTCTTTACATTACCTGTGGCTTTATTATTAATTATTTCCTATTTACATAACATTTTTATTTTGAACCATTTTAATATCTTTTCCTATTCAAACATAAATAAATGCAAACCCCTAAAATCTAGATAAATGGTAACTATGTAACATTTTTTTTCAACCCCATGAAGAAATTTGTCCTAGAAGGATGCGTGAAAGATATTCAGCTGTGATATACACCTGGGCTTGTATATCTCGCTTCTATTTTTTCAGGTCTTGTGAATCCTGCATTCTCAGACACAAAAAGGATTCTTCCCAGCCATAGGAAGACAAACCTCAAGTGACTGGATCTCCCTCCCCACAGGAAGCTTAAAGACTCACGTAAGTTTTAAGGATTTGCTCTGTGGCATGTGGGCTTTGAAACAACACATCGTTAAAACAAACTATTTTAGCTTTAAAAGCATTGGCTATGCTTTCCACTGTGGACAGATGTCAGGCAAGACACCCCGTCTGCCCTGTCTACCTTGCGGCCAGTAATAATGAGTTCTCAGCAAATTTGGGAATAGCAGCTAACTGACCTCTACAACTTGAGAAGTCTGGACATTTTATTCATGGTTCATTAACGGAGTTCAGGTATTTGGAATGACCTTTTATATTTTTATTTTTTTATGGCCATGTTGTTGAGTAAGGAAAATTAGAGACAAAATCTAGTAGCTTTGTCTGCAGGGATTTCAGGATTCCATCAATATGCCTTTGAGCCCAATAACATCTTATTGTTATTTTTATTCTATTTTTCTAAAGTACATTATGGCCAGTGAATGTTAAAGCAAAAGGCGATCTTAAGCATTACCTCACCATAGACATGGGCAGTTTTAAGGATGGCAGTGATCTTAGAAAACTTCTCTATTTTCTAGATGAAGAAATAGAGACCCATGGAGATGCTGGAATTGACCAACACTGACCGAGAGGCGGCTGCTGACTATTATGGATTTTTCTTGCAAGCTGGAAACATCAGTAGCTTAGAAATAGTCGTAATGTAAATATTTATACTGTGAAAACTGGCAAATGCTGAAGCTTGCTCTTCACCCTCACTCCTACCAGTTGATTTGTCGGCTCTGGATAGTAACACAGATGTCAAAAGTATTGCTTCTAAAGTCAGTGTGCCTGGGTCAAATCTCAGCTGCTCCTTGAATTAACCATGTTGTTCTAATCATTAATCAGATCATTGTTCTAATGATTGTAGTAACCACCCCAGAGAAAAGCATTTAGCTCATGCGAGAAATCTATTAAGCACTAAGGAAATGTTAAGTATGATTGCTATTAAGGTCCTAGAGATAACCTAAGTTTACAGATTATAAAACAGAAACTCAGAGAGATGGTATGACTTGCCAGGGACGTATAGCTTGTGGCAGCAGAACAAAGACGAGAGCCTGGTTCCCTGGATCCCTTCTCAAAACACCCCACAAAAAGCTTTAGGATTATCTTTTTCATTCTTCACCACACATCATCTCACTTCTTTCATGAATCTTTACATTCCCTACTGTGCTTCATGGACGTGGAGAACATCCATGCCTTCCACCAGCCTCATTCACGTAATAAAACTTCTTCTTTGCTTAAAGTCTATAGTTGCAAATTTTCACTAACTCCAGCAGAACTTCCCTCCCTTGAAAACATATAGAATGCACTTTCCTGCATTTTCAACTCAAAAACAAGAGTTTTCCCATCTTCACTCTTTATGTGAATGGCCCAAAGTCAAGGAGAGAATAGCCTGTGTCTCCCTGAACAGCATCCAGCCAGCAACATCTGATGGACAGTCTTCTCCTGGGAAGAGGTCAGCCTCCATCCATGCTCATCTCCTGTGTCCATTTCTTACTCACCACTTAAACACGAGGTTGATCCAGTCTCCAATCACAGCTACCCAGAGGAGTTTGATACCCACAGCTTCTCGAAGGTGGAACCAGATAGGGAAGAGGATATAGAAGGCATTCCTGAGATCTGCGATCACGGTCACCAGGATGAACCAGTCCTGAGAGTTGTGGTAATTCACCTGGAGGTAGCGCGTTGATTGGATTCCAAAGTCGTGGAGAACATCCATGCCTTCCTCTAGCCTCATTCCCGTGGCACGTCGGGAGGCCGTCAGCTGAGTCCTCCCAGTGCTTGCTGCAGGCTTGGTGGTGATTGCTCTGCTATCAGCCCGCGCCTTGCCTGTTTTATACACCCTGGATCCAGTCTGCAGGTCACCCAGCTCTGATCTTTGGACTCAAAAACCACTTTTGTCTAAAATCTATTGATCAAAGGTGCATCATCAGTAGGTTGATGCAAACGTGTTCAGAGTGATTTACGTAAAATAGAAAAACAGGCACATGAAAACAGCCTGATCTGCCATGTACTCAGCAGGGCCAATTATTAACTTGGGCATGCTGCTTGACAGTGCGAGGGGGTTGCCCTCCTGGTGTCCCAAACCAGGCCAGATGCCCAGGACAGAGTCTAACTCTACCATGGTTCTTGCGGGATGCCTGCTTTCTGAAGTCTGCAGTTGCACATATAGTGAAAAGCCCTGTGCTCTAGCTATAAACGCCTCAAGCTTTTAATGTTAAAATATAATAAATTCTTTCATACTAGGAACTGTCAGCCTGCTGGTCCTTCCTCAACTTCAGTGGGTTCTAAGAAATGTGTCTGGTCTGGAAGATTAAACTCTCTTGCCAGTCTCCATATCTCTTTGAACTCACTGCTATCAAGTCGAGTCAGACTCTAAGCAACCCTGTAGGACAGAGCAGGGCTGCCTTTAGTTTGCACAGCAGGACAGAGCAGGGCTGCCTCTAGTTCCCAAGGCTGTAAGTCTGCATAGAAGGAGACTGCCTCATATTCCTCCCGAGAAGCAGCTGGTGGGTTAAAACTCCTGGCTTTTTGATTAGAAGCGGAATTCTTTAACTATGCCACCAGAGCCCGAAAAGAATATTTGCTAAAAGCACTTGTCCAATTAATGGCCTTAAATTTGGACCATGGTGTTTTCACTATATAGGTATAAGATACAGCACAGGTGCATGTTCATGCAAAAACACTACAGCTGTGTAGTGCTAACTCAGAACACCAGAAAATTGGTGATTAGGGTCTCCAGAAGAGTGTTTGACAGTTTTAGTTATTTTTGAAAAAAGACTTCTGCATCTTGAGATTCTGTTGTGGTTGGAGATGTTATTTGCCTTTGAGTTGATTCTATGCATGGTGATCCCATGTGTGTAGAACAAAACTACTCCACAGGGTTTTCAAGGCTGTGACCTTCTGGAAGGAGATTACCAGGCCTGTCAGCTAATAGTCAAATGCTTAACTGTTTCTACCACCTAAGGAATGTTCATACATATACGTATGTGAGTGTGTGTGATCTTCATACATGTGTGTGTGTGTGTGTATGTGTAGTCCCCAAAACCTACTGTTGACTAGTCAGTTCCAACTCATAGAAACTTTCCAGTAGGTTTTCAAGGTGGTATATCATTATGAGAGGAGACTACTCATCCTTCTCCCTTGAAGAAGCTAGTGGATTTGAACTGCCAGTCTTTTGGTTAGCAGCCTAATAAGTCACATACTACACCCCCCGGGCTCCGTGTATGTGTGTGCGTGTGGGTAAATGGGTGTGCACATGCGCATATGCCCATAGCTGATCCTCCAGTGGATTTTCAGAGGCAGGAAATCACAAAGGAGAAGATTACCCCTTCTCCCATGGAGCAGCTAACGTACTCAAACAGCATGCCTTTGGGATTGTAGTGCAGCTTCTTACCACTGCAATTTTGCTACTGCCATGAATGCAGACAAGAAAGAAGTAAAACTATTAAATATGAGGTTATGAAAGGCTGTGCTGCCTGCCCATCTGCTGGAGCAGAAACTGTGGTGCAGGTTACTCAGGACTCTAGAGGGAACAGGGTCATGGGTCAGGGGGTGGATTAAATGCACTTTGAAGGCTAAGAGTCAATAGGAAGAAAATTCTCAAAGATTCACCTAAACTTCCCATCAGCAAATCCATATTAACTTATAAGGAGTAGATTGAGGCAAGAAGGAGAAACCAAGAGCTAAGGGGATGGTAGCCAAGGTTGACAACATTCTAGAAATGATCCAACCATCAGTAATGATGATTGCCCAACATGATGAACACAATGTCACTGGATTTCACTGTAAAAAAACATGAAATGGCAAATGTTTTTCTACATGTATATTTATCACACATTGAAGATTTAACTGTGTCCTCAAAAATATATGCTGTAATTCCTAATCTTATACCTGCGATTATAATCCCATTTGGAAATAAGTTTTCTTTGCTATTAATGAGACTGGATTAGTGTATTTTGAGTCAGTCTCTTTTGAGCTAGAGAGAATGGAATAAGAGAGATAGGAAAATTCATAGAGATCTCCAAGGAACCAGGAAACAAAAATTGAAAACACAAGGACCTTTTTCCACAGTTAGCAAATGTGGCTGCTTTTTAAAAATTTTTTATTTTGTTATTTGTGTGTATGTGTACCATCAAATCGGATCTGACTGGTACAGGAGAAGATTGCCCCTCTTTCTCGGGCAGAGCATCTGGTAGATTTGAACCATGTACCTCTGGGATTGCAGTGTAGATTCTTGCCACTAGGCCACCAGAGTTCCCTAAATGTGGCTTCTTGTTGTTGTTGCTATGTCCCATACCTGCCTCTCATAATGATTCTGAACGCTTCCCTATCCTGAACCAGTCTCACTCTGACACTCTACCTCCATTACCCCAGTTACTGCATCAGTCCATCTCATCCAGGGTCTTCCTCTCCTGTGCTGTCCCTCCCCCCTTCCAAGCATGATGTCCTCTCCAAGGACTGGTCTCTCTATGCCCAAACTATGTGAGATGGAGCTTCAAAATCCTTACCTTAAAGGAGAAACTTCATTTCATCCTCTCCAAGAAAGACCTATTTGTTCTCCTAGCACTCCATGGTATATTCAAGACTCTTCTGCAGCCCCACACTCAAAGGCATAAATTTTTCTCCTCTCATCCCTTGTCATTGTCCAGCTTTCTGATGAATAGCAAGTAATTGCAAAGACCATAGCCTGGAGCAGGTGCACCTTAGTCTCTAGACTGACATCATTGCTCCTCAGCACTCAAGAGAGGTCCAACAGCAAACTTCCCAATGTAATTTGTCTTTTGATATTCTGGTGCCAAGAGTGTTGACTGTGGAGCCAAGCAAGCTGAAATTGTTAAGAATCTTAGTATCTTCTCCATCTATCATAGTGCTGCCAAAATGTGGCTTACTGGTAAGAAATTGCACTGCCAACACAAAGATACATGGACTGAATCCACCAGCTGTTCTGTGGGAGAAATGTGGGCTATAAATTCCTGTGTGTTTTATTGCCTCTGAAAACTCACTGGAGGGTCAGCTATGGGTAGGTTCTGACTCCCCAGTACACAACAACAATAACAGTTATCACTCTGAATTTGGAATTCTAGCCTCCTAAATTATGAGAGTTCTTTGTGGGCCTAATGGTAAGGAGCTGTGCTGCCAACTCAAAGGTATGCAGTTCAAATCCATCAGGAGCTCCTCAAGGGAAAGATGGGCAGTTTCCTCCTGTGAGATTTACTGCCTCTGAAAATCCAGTGGAGGGTCACCTATGAGTCAGTTCCAACTCGACAGTACACAACAACAATGAACTGTGAGAGTCTGTTAGCCTCCTGTGTAGGGAGTTGCACTGCCAACCCAAAGGTACTCAGTTCGAATCCACCAACTCCTCAGGAGAAAGATGGGCGATCTCCTGCTCTGGGATTTACAGCCTCTGAAATCTCAGTGGAGTGTCACCCATGAGTCTCGAGTCCTGCTTGATGGCAATGAGAATTAAACTATATGAAAATAAATTTCTCTGTGTTAAAGCGCTTTACTGTGGTATTTCTGTTCTAGCAACACCAGATAGCTAAGAGAGAGTTCTGGTGGCCTACTCCCCCCTGGAGAGTTATACTGCTAACCCAAAGGCCACATCTTTGGCAGTTTGAACCCACCAGTGGTTCTTTAGGAGAAAGATGAGTAACTTGTAATTTATAGCTTCAGAAACTTGCTGGAGGGTCAGCTATGAGTCAGTTCCAACTCAAGAGCAGTGAGTGAGCGAGCCAGCGAGACAATTAAGACATCATAATCTTTAAAAATACCATCCAGGAGGTAGGCTTTGGAATCTCATCTCCAAGTCCCCAGGGGCTCGCGTCCATCTCAAGTCCACCTGACCATTTTGTCTCTACTTGCCCAAGCAACCCTAGAGCGTCCTACCATATCTGTCCTGAAGACTAGGAAATAGTGGCAAAAGTTGGCGAGGGGTGGGCTGCAAAGGAAGCAAGTGCTTGACGTAGTTGGGAGCAGGCAGAGCTGCTGCATGGCCAAGACCTCACTGATGGTCAGCTCCACCAGAAGCGATGGCCTCTTTTACCACCCAGATAAGCTTTCCTCGAAAGTATTGAGCAATTCCTGGATGACCCCTGGGGGTGGGTGTACTGAAAGTTCCACGATCTGAGGAGAGTTGAGGGCAAATAGGACAGATCTTGGTGAAATGTCAAAAGGTCACTCTGGGCCTTCCAGGGTCCCGAGTCTGGTGGATTTCCATCATGTGCTCAGTGTAGGGGGTCCCACTATCTGGTAGGGGAACTTCAAGTAGAAGGCTTGTGCTGGTAAGAAGTTGTGATGGAGCTGATAGTCTGTTCTGGGCACACAGCAGCCACGAGGGTGTCTCTGGCAGGTTGCCTTCCAGGTCAGGAGGGGACCCTGTTGGTCAGAGTAACTACCCGTTCCTTCCTGTCTCCACCTTTCTGCCTTTGTGCTTCCTCTAGCAAATTCTTTATCATGTGCTGAAAGAGGTGAGGCCCCAAAGGATCCATGCCTGCTAGAAAGCTAAAGGGAGAAATTGCAGAGGTATCAAACCCTCAAAGGTCTTGTGATATTTGAGGTGAATACTGCAGATGAATCATTTGAGTTGCTGGAGGTTTTGGTGTGAGTCTGCCCATCCACAGAGCATGGGAAGCAGGGAGTGTCCCATCTCCCTCTGACATCTGTTATCTTCCAAGAAGTTCTTCAGCTTAATTTGACAAGCGTTTAAGGAGAAAGCACCCTGCCTGGCTCTTAAAGGAGTTCAAAGTTAAATCCTCTGTCCTCTTGGGCCTGGACAGTGGTGGGGAGTGTGGTCAGAGA